GTCAAGTCTTGTTCACTTACTTGAGTATCTGTGGGACTAATTACTGTGTCATTTCCTGCTATTTCTGCACAAATTGCTGCTATCTGTGTTTCTATATTCAAGAAGTCCTTAATCCTTTCATGTTTCTTTGTCCTTATGTCTTTTAACACGGGATCAATAACAGCCAATTTCTGCTTCAGGGTACCTTTCATCTTTCCAGACTGAAAAATAAGAAAAGAGTTAATTAGTCAAAAGAAAAAACTGAATGATGGAGAAGTTAAAGGATTCCACAGAAACATAGGACAAACCAATGGCAAAGAAACTTGTTCTCCAAGGGCAGATACAAGTTTGGAAATTTCTGCATCAGCCTCAGCTAATGACAGATGCAGCTCAGCTTTGTATTTTCTCTCTTTATCTACATTTCTACGGTAAATGTCGAGGCATTCCTGCTCAACTTGAAGAAGCTTTTTGTCCCTCTCGCTGTCACTCTCCCCAATCTCATCCCATATTTCCTTCAGAAAAACGAGAAAAAAAAGACAGGTTATTTAAATAGATTCTACCTACAAACTCGAAAGTGTAAGTGAAGATGCAGCTGATCATACCAACACAAGAGGGCAAGTAGGAGAAAAATGCATCAGTCTCCAAATTAAGGAAACATAGACTTCAAAAGATAGTTCCCTTAGCAGACCAAGCAAATTTCTTGAATAAATGCTAAACTCTTTTCAGGAATCCATTGAGTAAGGTCATGGGACCACAATACAAATATTAATGAGTACATTGCAACAGACTCAGTTTAAGAAAAAGGAAACACCTCTTCACCTTCTTTTATTCAGAAAGAAACTTTCTAATATTTTACAGCTAAAAACCTCAAGGGAAGTGATTAAACTACATGATTTGCACTTTGCAATTATATATCAAATGTGTAAGCCAGAAAAACAAAATAAGTCTATTCCAATAATGGCCAAAAAAGAAGCTAAATTAAATGAAAAAGGAAATTGTACAAGCAGCAAATCATTGTTGCTAACAGTGTCATGGGCAACTATAAAATGTATATTCTGGCAACAATCAAGCAGAAAACTTATCATGCAGCTGAACCACCTTTGGATAAAACATACAAGGGAGTTCAACCATAACTTCCAAAGTGAAAACAAGACAAGATAAGAAGCAGCTATACAAACATTGAACAAACTTAACATTCATGTCCAGAATCAACACAAATGCTGAAAGAAAACAAGTACAATAGTAACCAATTCTCAAAAAAAAAATAGTAAACACCAGATTATGAATGGAAATGATCATGCGATAGAGGCATGTCTAATACCAACGCATAATTAAAATAACATTAAGCAATTTAAGCCACATCCATAGGCCCATCAATAGCATTTACAATCTCTACTAAGTTTTGAAGCTAAAAGCTATCATATCTCAAATTTCTCATTTCCAGAAGTCAATGTTATTTGTGCCCTGATGAATGAAAACAGTTTGCAAGGTATCCCCGGTTCAGATGATGTACTTTCACTTTGTCAAATGTTAGTAGCTATAAAAAAATTCAGACATACTCAGATACATTAATGAATCATATAGAAACAAGAATACAGAGATACATGAAAAACAAATCTACTGACATAAATACTTGAAATGCCAAACTAGAGCCTCCGTAATGAATATAACAATTCAACCTAAATATGTCAAATACATTAAGCAAACTATTGAAACATCCAATTCTCCCACCAACAATCAAGAGAATCCTACTTTCAGAACGCTCATTCATAATCAATTCTTCTCCATTCCATTCAAGTATAAAAAGAAGATACTGATTATTGTCATATTCAATCATATGCCACTAAAGTGACACCCCCTTATGATCAATTCCAAAGATTTCTATCATGTTTCCCAGTAACCACCTCCACAACAATTAAAAACAAGAATCTGAACACCCAAAGTTCAAGATTATAGCATGCAACTCTTATCTACCACAAATTTTTGGGTCTTATGCACATACTTGTATGTATGTGTGATGTACATGAGTACCAGAAAGAGAAAAGAAGAAAAGGACAGAACAACAACATCAACAACCCAATTTGACATTTAATTCATACTCTTACTATAAAGACACAGATAAAAAGGGAAGAAAGAAGGGAAACGACAAAACCCCAAAATTTTTATTGAATAAACAAACTTAAGAAACTAATACAACTTAATATATTTATATTATATCTCCTTAAAACACAATAGTGATTCCCAAAAACCACTGGGTACCCAAAAAGAAAGACCAAGAATCATTTTCAAAGACACATCCGAACAAACAAAATGATAAACAGAAGAATACCTGCTATTCTTGAAGTAGAGAGCCACAAGTAGTAGTGGCTGACTTAGAAAGAAGAGACTGATTATTGGCATATTCAATCATATACCACTAATCCCACACCCCCTTATGATCAATTTTAAAATTTTCTATCATGTTTCCCAATAACCACCTCCAGAACAACTAAAAACAAGAATCTGAACAGCCAAAGTTCATGCTTATCGTATACAACTCTTATTTACCACAAATCTTGGGTCCTATGCAGGTGTTTCTATGTGTAAGTGATGTACGTGTGTACAAGAAAACAAAACAACAAGCCAATTTGATATTTAATTCATATCTATAAACACACAGTTAAAAAAAAAAAAACACAACACCCCCACATCTTGATTGGAATAAACAAACTCAAGAAACTAATCCAATTGAGTGTATTTCTCTATTGTATCTCCTTAAAACACAATCTTGATTACCAAAAAAAAGAAAGACCAAGAATCTTTTTCATAGAGACATTCGAACAAACAAAACGATGAAACAGAAGAATACCTGCAATTCTTGAAGTAGAGAGCTACAAGTAGTAGTGGCCGACTTAGAAAGAGAGAGCGGAGAGGAAACAGTATCAGTAATCGACATTGTCGATTTTTCAAACGAAACCCTAGAAATCAGAGAGGAGAATATGGCGATGTATCTTTTAAATTTAAAGATTTTGGCGTTATAAATGTATTGAGATTTTGGGAGATTTTGCCTTTTGATTTTTTGGGCGGGAAAACTCTTCTAAATTCCCCTATTTGTCTCCTTTAAACCTTTCTTTTATACTTTTTTTTTTCTCTTTCTTTCACTTTCTTTTTTATATATATCGTATTTTCGGAGGTCTTTTAGAAATAGTCTATCTTGGTGTTCATAAGTCGGTTTTGATCAATTGTTAGTTAAAATTAAAATCAAATCAATTTAATCGGTTTGGTATGGTTATTCCGTTATTAATCATAGGTAAATATAAAAGAAGCAATTCATTTAAAAGTGATAACAACTCATTTAAAACGAAAATAGTTAGCATAACTGACATTAAAAAAATTTCGATCATTGAATTTACTATGTATAAATAAAGCTTCAAAATTCATTATTTTGTCCTTAAAAAAAAAGAAACGGTGATATCTTCAATTTTATAAAGAAATGTCAAAGACAAACTCATATACATAAAAAAAAACAATAAGAATATTACACATTTTTTCTTTCATAAGTAAATTACAAAAAAAAATGATGAAATATATAAGTTCTACATACACTCTATTCTCCTCATATTAGGGATGTGCACTATTTTAATTAAAGTAAAAAATCAAATCAAATCAAATCGAATTCTGATTTCGATTGGTTTTTAGGATTCTTGCTTTGGTTTTGGATTTATAATTTACTTTGTTTGGTTATAAAAATTGAATTTCTTCAATATACTTTTAAATATAAATCACAAGTAAAATGTAAAACACAATACTTTAAAGTATATCAATTATATATATTATGTTGGAGTTAACCACTTTTGTCCCTTTTTAGTTATTTTCATTATGATTTAGTTAACCACTTTTCTCCCTTTTTTAGTTATTTTCATTATGATTTAATTTATTTTCTTATGTTTGGACATCTATAAATTATATACTTTTAAGTATTGTGTTTTACATTTTACTTGTGATTTATATTTAAAAGTATATTTAAGAAATTTATTTATATTTATATATATATTAAATTTTTTAGATTGCAAATACTTTTGTTATGTTTCTATTTATTGGCATAACTGATTAACCAAGCTGAAAAAATCCAAATCAAAAAGAGAAAACCAAACCAAACCAAATTTATTTTGATTTGAATTGGGTTACATTTCTTCAAAATCAAAAATTTGAAAATTCAAACCGAATAGTATAAAACCGAATGCACGCCCCTACCTCAAGTATTTCATTGGTTACGTTGTTATTATTGTTGTTGTTTATATATAATATATATTCCTTTATTTAGGAGTACGTTTTTTAGGAGTTCAATAAAATTACATTTCTAATAGGGTGTGTTTGGTATGTTATCAAGTTTTTGATTGATTATTTTTTTTACAAAATATTTTTTTTACGTATATGAGCTCCTTGGAATCAAAATATTTGTTACGTTAGGTTATCATAATTATTTTCATTCAATTTAATGACTAATATAATTCAAAAGATTAATCATTCAATCTGAAGTTCAAAATCAATCAAATCAATTCAACATTGCTTATATGTGATTAAAATTATATTTTATATATATGTAATAAATGTTAATCTTTTCGATTTTTTAGTGCGTGTATTTTTCACATTTTAAACCTTTTTAATGAAAATCATAATTCTGCTTCAGTCTTTACACCCCCATTACTTTGATTGTTAACTCTTTTGTTTTGGCCCATATATGACATCATAATAATGTGTTTTAAAGCAAAAGAAGTATGATGATAGCATTGAAATTTTAGTTTGCCTAATTAATTTTGTTAACTTTTGTTATATTTTCATGATAAATTCTTTCATATTTCATGGTTTGATTGTTTGAAATATATTAACTTACAATTATTGAGCAAAAAAAAAAATAATAGCAAAATCTTAAAGTGGTTTATATGTCACATAAATATTTCATCAGACAACGTCCACAAAATCATAAACCAAAGGCTGTTGTAGCTTTGCAAGTTACAACATCAGTTCATTTGAACCCATACTTTTAACACGAAATATAAATTTATACGTAGAAATTTACTCAAAATGCAACAAATAACCCATAATTTTAGTAACAGAACGAGTCCACTGTTAAGAACCTTATAGATTGAACTCAACAAACAACATAGGTCACTTATATATGTACATTACTCCTACCTGTAGACGTAGAGAGGTTGTTTCTGATAGACAACTTTATAAATTGAATTTAAATCCTGGAAACGAACTACTCAATGAATCATCTCTTTATAAAGTAGTTTGCTTTTGTTTGGAGTTGCCCCTTTGTGTTTGAGAGGAATCTTCCTACTTTCACATTCTTCATGAGTACTATTGGATGATGAAGGACTCCATCTTTTTGCTGAACATGTTCTGTCTGTCGAAAATGAAGAAGATCCAACAATTTTATCATCTTCATCATTGCTTTTCGGGTTGAAGTCTATACAAGTATCAGCATTTCCTTCCATTATATCACTCAAGATCTTAACCACCTGATTTAAGCAGATACGTATCAAAAATCAATAGGCTAAGAACGACAACAATAACAAAATTATGATGAAATTCAATGTCGCGGTTGTAACAGAAAATAAATGATGGATATATATACTAGTCATTTTAGTTCGATATTACAAGCAAAACTTACCCATTCCATGGTATTCCTCTTATCAGGATCCTTTTCGAGACATTTTGCTGCCAACTCAACCATCCAAAATAGCTGATGGAAATCATGGGAATCGACAATACTTTTATCAATTAGACGTGGATAATTCTTTTGCTCCAGAAGAGGCATTGCCTGCAGTTGAAAGGTAGTACAAGTTATCATTAGCAACTAATGCTATGACGTTTAATTTCATAACCAGTTGTTTCGTAGAACAAAATAAGCATGTTGTGTTATATGGTGAAATGATGTTTTCAATTTTTACCCATTCAACAAGACTTTTATCTTCAAGACAGTTGTCTGTGTTCTTGAGTCCAGTGATAAGCTGCAGCAGCACAACTCCAAAAGCATAAACATCTGTTTTAGTCGAGAACTTCCCACTTGCTGCATATTCTGGTGCCATATATCCAAAAGTACCAACCACGTTGTTACCAGAAGAATGTTGTGATTCATCATACGCCGCTTTTGCCAGTCCAAAGTCTCCTAACTAAGTCATCCATGTTGCATATAGTTAGACACCAGTACATTTCACCTTAATTTGCTTGAACCAAACTAAAAGAGGGCAGCTCGGTGGACAACATTGAACGTACCAGTGATTCATGATCATGTGTGATGAGGATATTGTTAGGTCTAATATCTCGGTGAATGATGTTGTGTTTATGAAGATATTCTAAGCCTCTGGCAGCACCCAAAGCTATTTTTAGCCTCTTCTCCCAATTGAGACACATTCTTATATCCCCTGCACAAGAATAACACAATTACGTACGAGTGAGCATTCTAGTTTAATTTAGGCTGCATTCTGTTTTAACCCGTCCAAATATAGTCCAATCTGCCCATTCTAAAACTAATAGTCAAAAATAGACTAACCTGATAAGAATTTGTCGAGAGAACCATAGCAAACATACTCATAGACAAGCAACTTTTGGCTACCTTCAGAGCAAGACCCTAACAACATGACTAAATTTGGATGCCTAACCTTGCTTAGAACCTCAACTTCGGACTTGAATTCTTTATCGCCTTGAAGGCTCATATCGTTATGCTGCTTGACAGCAACTCTTAGTCCATTCTTTAAATACCCTTTATAAACAGAACCAAATCCGCCTTCTGATAGAAAATTCTCATTGGCAAATCCTTTTGTTGCTTCTTCAAGCTCCTTATGACTGAACTCCTTATGCAATCTCATTTTCGGTCTTCTGTTCCCACAAAAGGAACATTCAGACTTCTCGTATATCACTCCATACAAATATTGATCATTGTCCTTGATATGTTCATCGGAAACGTGGGATGGTGAGTTTCCAGTTTTTGTTTTCAAATTATGGAAAGAGGAGCTTGAGCTTGGATCTACTAATTCAGTTGAAGAAGATCTTTTTACTTTGTTCTCACAAAAATCTGAATAGAGCTTTCCTGGTATACTACTTGCCTGTTCTTTGCATGAGGTTCTCGTTCGAGTAACAGCTTTCGAGTCTACAATTCATCATAAAAAAACAAATGACAACATAGCACCATCAAACATATGTGAACCAAAAACTCCTATTTGATCAAAGGGAATATCTACATTGCTTACTTAGCTGCGAAGAAGGACGTTCTTCTGATACATCATCCTCTCCTGGTATCATTTCATCATACGAAAATGTATTTCGAGTAAGGGAGACCTTAGTGTTCTCCATTAACTTTAATGGTCCTCTCACTTCTTCTATGGAGTTGTCACTTTTCAATTTTGATATTCCACATGATAGCTTCTCCATGAAGTACCTCTTCTCTTTCTTCATTTCCCTATATACATACATACACAAAGAACCAAGTTATAGCTTGTGTCAAGGATTCAACAATTATGGATCATTTTCACATCTTTCATATATTTTACCCACCCTTCGAGTATTGACATCTCTTGCCACAAGTTAAATGTTCAGTCTAGTGGTTAACTAAAACTCCATCAATTCCATTCGTTAATTATCATTTATTTTTCTTTTATATGACCGTGATATTTGGGAGCCTCGACTAATTCCACACACACCTGATAACTTTGTCCCCAGGGTTTAGAACAAATGAGAAGAATCGCCTAATATTTTTGTTCGTTAGGTGACAAGCCAAGCAGGAATTAGACCAATAGGACATTATTCTCCTGTTGATGAACAAAAATAAAAGTGCATACAGGAATTTCATAACAACAATAAAAGTGCATACAGGAATTTCATTACCTATACACATATTGTTGATGAACAAAAAGTAATTAAAATAGATAATGAAATTTAGTAACTAACCTATCTAGAATGATCCAAGTGGGTTCCAATCTTTTGATTGCTATAACAGCAACCACCTTTCTTGAATTTCCAGCTTGAACTTGTATGTGAAATTTGACCTGCAACACCAATGAAAATTCACAATTCCAAATATGAATTCCATTATTTAACATTCTAAATGCCCTCTTCTTATTTTTTATTTTTTTCACGAGAAAGGAATTCAAAATAACTCGCAAATCATATAGGAGAGGCAATCTGCGCATTAGGCAAGTTCGATGCGAGAGAACTTTGACACCTAAATCCAAACTCAAACCAAGTTTGGATTAATTATTGACTAACTTATTTATTAGTTTAGTCCATCAATATTATGTTGATTTCTAGTTTAAACTAATTTATGGAATCTTTTTATCAAATAATGTAAAGATTTTTTTGACGTGTGTTATATATAGTTATAAGGAAGTAAATAATAATTTTATTAAATAGAAAAAACTATTAAAAACAATTAAAAAATTTTAAAATTGGAAATTGACTTGTATTTTAATAAATAAAATTGTTTATCCCCCTAAAAAATTATCTAGTCTAAAATAAATTGATATGCGTATTTTAAAAAATTATCATATATTTTTAAAGGATCCTTCAGAAATATATGATGGATTGAGTTATTTGATCTGAGTATTGTTTAGGCTCTTGAGCATCAACATGTGATGTGATATAGAGTCTTGATTGTTATATCATTTCTGTTGTTAGCTAATATTTTTAGAAATAAAAAACCATAAACATTATAATAATCAATTTAATATGAATAATCATCTTATTTAAAAGCTTAAATTATTAAAATATACACATATATTTTATTGACTTAATTGCATTATATTCTCACTAAATTTATGTGACCAAAATGTGAAGTGGGAGTTTAGGGAATAACCTTGTCAACTTCACATTGTTTCAACAGAACTAACATCTCCAAACTCTTATTATACTCCTCCATCCTTTTAACTAGCTCTTCTTCCACTAGCTTTTGGTCAACTTTATTTCTTTGTCCCACTACAAAAATATAAACAAATTGAAGAAACAAATATATTAGTATATATTAAAAAAATAAATAAAGAATCCTTAAATTATTTTGGTATTTCTATAAAATGCACGCTCGAAAAGAAAAATTGAGAGCGACAATTAAGTTGTCTTCAAGTCAAGTCACCTATAGGTCAAAACATGGGTCCAAGTTTGCAGCTATGTGATCCGTTTCTAAACGTCGTATAAATGCATGATACTTTGTATTCTGAACTATTTATAAATAAAATGCTATAATTTTGTATAGAAAACTTACAAAGTTTTACTATGCCCAAAAAAGCTGATGTAGTAGTTGAGTTATTAAATTGATGAACAACTCCAAGTACTATAAGTTCATCTCCGGCCTTTAGACTCAAATTACGAACAATCCCTCTAATAGCAGTCCAATTTACCTCTTTTGATGTATCATGAACCACCACCACCACTCTCTTGCTTCCCATTGTATATTTAGCCTTCTTTTAATTATTTATTAACGGATATGTTTAAGTTAAGATTATACTCGTGAACGTAATAGAATAATTTTGCCCGTCAGATCGACCGGAGAGAGATGAGAGTTAGATGTAAACATAATGGAAGAGGAAAGGGATGCATATATAGAAAGGTTACATGTTGTCAATTCCTATGCTAATTAAAGAAAACAATTATCTACCAGCTGATGTAATTATCGTGACCATTGATTACAAAGTATCTTATTTGTTGCAAAGTGAATTGTTTATTTTCAAGAAAAGATTCATCCATTATACATGTGGCTTTTTTTAGTGCATTTAGTTTTGCAATACAATATGTTCTAATGGAATCTTCATTTGTAGAATCTTAAGTTTTTTTGTTTTGTTTGTGATGACGTTAACAAAATATTTTCCTTCATTTAGTGTGAAATAATTAGATTTGCATTATATTATACATCAGTGACGTATCTAATTTCCAGTATGGACAGATTTAAACTACATCTAACGTAAGCAGATGCCTTTTGTTGTCGATTCATTGTTTGGAGTTTGCACCAATTCGCGACGAATCAAAATAGACTAGAATGAAAAAGAAAATGAGCAAAACATCAGCCCGTTAAAATGTTACACTAGGCCAACGATAAATCATAGCTCATATAATTAACCCTATTATTGCAGTTGAACTTTTACGTGTAGTGTTTCCTCAAGTTATCGGCAAAAAACCCGCTGAGTTCACTGTTCATTCAGATCATCTATTTCAGACGAAAGCAACATATTACGTATGATGTAGGCCGAGTCCACACACAAGGGTAGCTTCAAAGCAGTTACCAAGCGCGCCCAGAATTAATGCAGGATAAAAGGAACTCTATTCAAAGTGGGGAGGGGGGAATGAAAAGAAGAAACTGTTACTTAGGACAGAATCTTAATTTAGAGGCCAGCAATCAAAATAAATATAACGATAAATAACTTTAGATATCATCAGTGTTTCCCATCAAATATTACTGTATTCAAGTATAGTAACTTCACAATGCCGTACTGAATAGTAGATATGTAAATGCTACTGCTTAATGACAAAAATGGTACTGAAAATGGACTGGGGTGTGGGGTGTTGTCACAATGCATTACAAGAGTGAGCTTGTTGCGGCTGCCTGAACAATAGAAAATAGAAATAAAAGAAAAAAACTAGACTCAGCAGTTTCAAGCACCACTAACCTCACACTGCACTTTTCTTGCTCCTGAAATTCTCTTTGAGTAATGCAAACTTTTTTTTACACTGGTTCATAGTCTTCCCAGGGACAGCAGTTGCCACTCGTTCCCACCGCTGGCTGGTTTCCTTGGGGAAGGTTTTCAGAGCTTGAACTAAGGCTTTTTCTTGAACAGCAGACCATACGTCTGAATCAGAACTCGAAGAAACTCCGTTTGCTGTAGGTGCATCCTCAGTGTTCTGGCTGTTTGTGTTTTGACTAGGGGTCTCCTGAGAATCAGCTACTTTGGCGCTTCCACTTTCAGGCTTGCTACTATTTTCTACTCCCTCTACTTCTGCCCTCGTGGAAAGAGGAGAAACAATAGTTGGTGCAGGCTTTCTTTTCTCAAGGAAGGAGTCAAAGGCTTTAGCAGAGTCGGGCTTCTGGAGCAGAACTGTTTTTGTAGCCTTCAGGATCTCTTCAACTGTCCTTGCGGTACCAATATAATCAGAAATAACTTCCCATCTTCGAGAAGTTCCTTTAGGATATTTCAGCATCCCCTTCCTCAAAAGATCAATTTCTTCTTTGCTCCAAGGTTTCTCTTTTTTCTCACTGCTCATCAGAGGAACTTGTTTTTTACTGTCCAGAGAACCATTTTGCTGCGACTTAATCTTTTCATCTTTATTCTCATATTTCAGGTTGTGTTCATGTCCAAGTGCCCCCCTAAGAAGTTCAGCAATAACAATCTCACCCTGTCCATCGGCTTTATCACATAAGTTCCTCAGTTGCTCAATGTCAAGTGACATGCATAGACCTTCTACATCGTCATCATTTAGCCCAAGCAAACGCTGAGACAGAACAGGAGCAGCAAGGGTTCTTAAACGACTACGCTCTTTTCGCAACAATTTCTTTTCTTTCTCCTTCAACTTCTTCTGCTGCAAAGCAACTTCAGCTGCTCTTTTCTCCTCTTCCTCTTTCTTACGCTTGTCCTCTTCAACAATCCTAATTGCTTCTGCCTCCTGTAATTTCTTTGCAAGTAGTTTAGCGTCCTTCTTTCTCTGCTTCTCTGCTTTCTCCGCCTCTTTTCTTCCTAAGATTCTAGGGTCTTTTCTATAGGCATTGTCAACAAGTGTACGCACCCTGGCGGTTTCTTCCTTTCTGGCTTTCTCTGAAAGTTTTGCATTCTGCCTTTCCATCCACCTCTTGTGATCACGAGATTCAGCTTGTTCAAGATCAAACTCATCAGCATGTGGGAACTCTCTCCAACTTTTGAAGCTGTACCAGAAATTATAAAAGCTATCCACTTCTTTAATTGGAGTATTCTCATCACCTAATGAAGGGATGGGTTGGGTGACGGACCAACGACCATTCCTTAAAAATGCAGGTCCAAAGACCTTAAAAAAATCTTGTGGAGCACATTCAGTTGGGATTTCATCATCAAATTCATCCGTGGAGTCATAAATCCTTCTCCTAACAGGGTCCATAAGAACCTCATATGCTTCCTGAATAGCTTTGAAGTGGTTTTCTATTTCCTCCTTCTTGGCTTGTTTTGCAGCTTCAGTTTCCTCAGCTAGAAGAAGTGAAGCCAGCTTGTCAGGATGATGCCTCAATGCAGCATCACGATAGCTCTTCCTTATCTGATCCTCAGAAGCAAGATACCTTAGATTGCTCAACCCTAATAATGCATAATGATCTTGTACCTTTTCGCCGGTAGAAGACTTCTTCTTCCCCTTAGAGCTGTATGACTCTGATGAATAGGCAAATGTCTGTTCCTTGTCATTAGGAACATCTTCTTTGCCATCTTTGGGGTCTTCTTTCTCAACATGCCCAATTAGTCTAAGAGCAGCAGAGTGAAAAGCAAGCCCAGCAGGCTCATATTTGTGAGCTTTAATAGGATAGCAGTTAGAGGAAATATAGATTGGTTCACCATTTATAATCTCATTCGAGTATGAAATAAGACGGATGCTACTCCTGGAAGCCATAGAGAAAACTTAGCCCTCAACTATAGAAGATGAATAAGAACGCATCCACCAACAGCTACACTTGGGGCAAGAGCCAATAAAAGCAGCCTTCTACACTCTCCAAGCCTGCAAGAACGAGGAAATTTTAATTACAGCACATCAAACAAAAGTCAAAGACGAGACAGAGTTCGGATAATATTGTTACACATCATCATAAAATCAATGCACATGTTACTGCATGGAACAGCTTGAATGTACAACATTAGAGTCCTCTAGGCTATACCAGCTATTTGGGATTCAGGCTTAGTAGGGTTGTTACAACATTAGATTCAGGAGTTCCTTCACTCTTCTGCTTAAGCTTGTATGTGTCATCAGTTGTGACGATAACAAAGGGTTAACCCAACCTTTTAGCTCGTGGCTTCTGTATATACATGTAAGTTATATACCAGTGTGGAAAGGTACTGAAAGAGTGGCTGTCTGTGTAAGCATAAGTCTACGATTATAGACCCTCTAGATATAAGAAACTCCTAATTTGTCTAATAGTATTGGAATGAAGTGAATCAAAACAGAACAGAAGGCCACAAGATTAGTATAGGAAACCAAAACAAGTTTGGGAGACAATAGCTGATTGGTATATTACTTGCAAGAGTGGAAGCATAAAAATGCAGAGTCAGATGAATACAACAGCTCCAGAGGGTAAAAGTCTGGAACACAGAAATAGAAGGTGGCTATGATGCTTTTAATATGTAGATACTAGATATTCATCACAGTTTGCAAGCAGCAAGAAAATAAAATGATAATATGAACAACACTTCCAATTGACAGGCAATCTGGGTAATCAAACACTTGTTTGAACAAATTCATGACTGTCAAAATCATATAAACAAAATAGGCTTAAAAAGCTGAGTTGAATAGGTTCAACTATTAGTAACTTAGTACCTAAGCCAAATTGCGTTCCAAAAAAAATAGAACTCACAATTAAAAACAAGGTAAAGATGAAACCACCCATCTCTCTCCATGGGACAATGCAGTTAACAAAGCTATTGAATTCCACTGTGCAGCTATTTACCAATGGAAATTTTCTAACTGGAACAAACTTTATAGCATTTGTCAAGCTATGGTTAAGAGAATTTATCATAACAAAATCATAATACTTTACATGTACTGTTTCATATCCTCGGATACATGCAACCACTACGAATATTCAATACCAATGCAATCACTTATAATTATGGAAACATACACAGTACCTCTGTGCATTCATTCTACTTACTATACTCGTTTAGCTTTTCAATGATAAAATTAAACAATGTCTTAAACAGGACATGTACCAAACCCAATTCTTGAAAATAAAGTTTATAACTCAAGATTTCACGAGTAGTACTAACGGTAACCTTTCCTTCAAACTCATTGTGAAAAAAAAAAGTTTTCTTTTTCAAATATTGAGCAGCCAAAAACTAATTACTATGGGGAACCATACTAAGCAGCTTACATTCATCACACAATCATTTGTTAAAAAATCAAAAAACAAAAGCTACCCCAATATCATTCCCATAAAATGTAGCAGCAAAAGGTTACTGTTTTCTATATCAGAAAACCAAAAATAAAATAAAATTTGTAAGACCACAGCAAATAGCTGCCCCAAGAAATTTTGTAACAAAGAAAACCCAAAAAGTTTAAGAAAAGGAGCAAAAAAAAGGAGAACCAAAAACCAGCATTACCCTGGTACAAAAAAACCACTGAATTAATCCAGGTGAAGTTGTGTATTGAGTTAAACATACCACACCATACTTTGTACAACACCCTCATACATACACATTTATTAACATTCATTATTTTTTCACAAGACAACGACCAATTAGGAGAAGAAAAAAACCAACCGAATATGCACAAATAAGAACTACTATCAAACAGAAGCGAAATATGAAATACATGAGATAAGGTAAAACAAAAATTCAAAACTAACGTCAAATAGACTCTACAAAATCTATATTGATCACAATGCATTACACCGTTTCTTCTTATCAACCGATAACAATTAGCCGAAAACTTTGAAAAAACGCAACAGCAAAAATAAAAAACCAGAGGGACAGAAGTTACCTTTTCCGATAATCTAATTGTGTTACTGATTATGGAGGATGATCTAAAAAAGGGGGTTAAAAGTTATGTGTTTACGAAAAGAGAGCGGCGTGACGACGGTTGAAGGAGAGGGAGGAGCTAGGGTTTTAGTCTGCGGAACTCAGCTGCCTCAAACAGCTAAAAGAGGAAGAAGCATGCGATGATTGTCGAGATTTATACCTAATTGTACCAAATCGAATACTGTTAATGGGCCGGGCTACTCACTTACCTACACATCTCGAAGTGGGCCTCAAAATGGGCCTTGATGTCCAATAACATTTGCACTTGTATCATTTTTTCGATAATATTTACCATTTATAGCAATAATATTTTTGTTTTCACTTGACCACTTTTAATTCATTAATAATATAAGTTTAATATATATTACAAAGAACAATTTATTATTCAAATATAATACAAGTTTTAATGATGGATAATACATTTATCACACATATAATATAATGTAACAATTTTTTACCCAAATGAACATAATATATTTCAAAAACAATTATAATTCAAATACATTGCGTACATAATTCACTTTTAATACATATTGCAGATTTATCACAATATTTCTATAGATGACAATAAACAAAAAAGTATCGCTAAAATCAGTAATTATTTTTTAAAATGTATTAATTTATGTAATTTGTCCTAGAAAAAAATTACTGAAATACACGTCTTCTGTTATCTTTATTTTCAATATTTCCTTATATTTCTAAAAAAACTCTAAAATCTCTTAAATATTTAATACATCCAGCTACATATTAATATATTTGAGGTACACATTATGTATTCGATTTATTTTATAACGTATATGAGCTAGTTTTTAATATATTTGAGCTACGTAATATGTAACTGATTTATGTTATAATGTATTCGAGATACTCTTTAATATATCCGAGCTACGTATTAACGCATACGATTTGTGTTACCATTGATGTAATTACAACTAAAGAGGGAAATGAGCAGTTTTATGTTTTGTAAAATAGTCACTCAAACTTGGTAAATAATAACCAAATAGACACATGACTTTGCATGTTTGATTATAGTGATCAAACTTGAAAGTTGAAATGCTTTGTAAAATAGACACTGAAACTTAGTCAGCTACCGCGTCGATTTCTAGGTTATAAAATAAAAAAAGTGAAGATTCAAAATGGACTTAACCTAATTTCACACAGTAATTGATACATGGAGTGCTGGTTGGAGCAACGAACACACTTCCTACTTATTACTAGTGGAAAAGGGAAGGGTTAGAGACCATTACAAAGACTTAAAGTCACAAAGACAACTAAGAAATAGACGGACACTAATATGTCAATAAATCACAAGGGCCCTTTGTGTCAAGGCCTACAGGCAACTGTAATCAATAAATAGCATATGTCAAATAGGCCATTTGTTTGTTATTTCATCTGCCTACTCTTCTTCATCATAATCTTCTTCCTCTTCTGCTACACTTGTATTCAGTTGTGACATATGAGCAGGGTCAATGACCATTCTGTCCATTTCGAGGGACCACTGAGGGCCTTCCTCTGCTTTCTCGTTCACAGGCCTTGGTGATGGATTGCAGGGTGCTATTTCCGGTGCAGCTGGTTTATCAGTATTATCATCTACATTGACCTTCAGATTAGGAGTTGTTACAACTGAGTTTTCTTTGTCACAAACAGTGGAATCCTGTGTAGGTGATTCTTTCGGTTCTGAGCAGTTCTCTGTCTGAGTTCCAGGATTTGGATTTTGTTGAACACTCTGCTGAGCAGAAGTGCAGGATTCAAGTTGCATATCAGGTCGTGAGAGCTCCTTATCAGCACGGCTTACCCGACCACGACCTCTTCCTCTACCCCTACCTCTTCCCCTACCACTACTGCCAACAGGAGACATCTCCTGCAGGAAATGAAGCCATTTATGTCATGACGTGATAAAAGAAAATAGGAAGTAATCACTGTGCATTGCAACTTTCATGAAAACAACAAATGATTGTGTTATCACATTATATAAAAACACCTGACATGTGATATACGATGTTGCTGTATCACATTACATCTTCCTCCAAATTTAACTATGCCATATGTATAAAACTAACTGAGAGAAACAATAACACCGTGCCTTAACGCCGAGGTAGTTAGCTCACCAATATGAATCCTTATTATCCATTTTACTCCATTTAGATCAACTTCATTATAATATTCCATAATTTGGGGTTATATTACACTAAGATATTTACATTTTCTATCGACAAATAAATCTCTAAAGTCTAAACAGAGAAAACCAAAGATAACGAGTGCAACCTTAATTTAATTTGCATCACTCTCTTACTTGGAGAAAACTCAACTTCAGTGAGTGAAATAGTTAGTAAAACTTCTAAGAAAAATCTCAAATCCTATAATGGAACTCATACGTGATGATCATTCGAACATCATATAACCGTTGATGTCCATCCCTCAAAGAATTTTGTGTAAATGGCTTAGAATGGATTAAACTTCCATTGTAATGATGTCTTGCAGAACTACAATTGTTGTCTCCAACTTTCACATTGGGGAAGGAGAGCCAAGTAACTATTCCAGTTGAATGATGAAAAGAGGGACGAGTAACTATTGTAGATTGAGTTATTTAGGGAGGTAAGGTATTTACTAATTGGTGCTAAAGAATTCCAGCAGGTGTGTAAGGAATTAGAACTATGAATATGCTCTCATACCAAGATTGGTGTAGCAGTAGTACACTTCTACCAAAAAGAGAAAAACATAGGTTTTACCAAATAGATGCAGCACCAAAATGAGAGAAGAGAGAAAGTAAGGGAAAAGAAAAAAAGAGGGGGAAAGAACGGAGACAAAGAAAGAAAGAAAGACACAGGAAAAAGAGGAGGAAGAGGAGCTGGTAGGAGAGAAGCACTAAAAACCGAAGTAAGCATAAAAGAAGGGACATCGAGAGATAGATCACCTCATATAGTGTTGTCCCTTAATTCTCAATTTACTAAGCCTTTTGTGACAGAGTTACAGGATGGTTAAGAAGATGCAAGTATCAGGTGGATTAATCAAGGTTTGCACAAACTATCCCATTACACCACCATTATAAAAATAAAATGGCATCCATTGAATGTTGTCCGAAATAAAGTAATCAAGGGTCCTGCAGTTCTGAACAAATTAGAACTCACGAAACAATTATAGCTTTTTATGTCTAAACCAAAAAAGATATGACTACTTGATTCAAAAAAAAATAAAACTAAAAGGCAAATTCATTCAACAAAAAAAATATACAAGACTACTTCATCCAAAAAAAAAAGATACAAGACTATTTGATAAAGACTAAAAGAATCAAAGGTATGGATAGTGCAATCTTTGCATGAGCTAAATCAGTTTATCCTGTGAAAACTTCATCTCTCGAAAATAAGATCATCAGCAATTACTTGTTTATACTAATACTACATTCAGAGCAACTTTTATTCTTTGAAGAACAAATGCTTTTTTATAAGCAATAACTAAATGCTTAATTACTGTTATAAATAAGTGTTTTCACTCTTCAGTCTGAGAAATTAAGAGGAATCTAAACTACAAGCGTCAATAAAGGTTATCTCACCGTCCTGCTCTTTTTGTATTCATCCTCACTGTCATGATGTTCTTCTATAGCAACTTTCCTGATAAAACAGTACATGATATTGCATAGTTTGGTGTCACCTTAAAACTGTAAGAGGAATAACCAACTGAATGAAGAAAAACTACTAACTTTAGACAAACAAGAAAATGATCCTAACCTTCTTTTTGGCATTTCACCAGCAGCATCAGAATGGCCATAATCAGGAACCTTGCTGACCACTTCCCGAAGAAAGTCAAACACGTTGTAGCTTTGTACACAGTGTTTTCTACAAACAATCAGTATGCATATAATAGGTTAAATGAACCAACAAGCCTGTCATTCCAAACATATATATATATATATATAAAAGCTAGGCATAGAAAAGGTCATGCCACCCCTCTCTATGGCCAACAATTGTATCATTCTTTTATATATATATATATATATATATATATATATATATAAAAGCTAGGCATAGAAAAGGTCATGCCACACTTCTTTATGGCCAACAATTGTATCATTCTTTTTTCTCCTAATTTTGGCCTTTTTCCTATTTTTCCATTTATGTGCTATTTAAAAAAATTTAAAAGTCACCGCCGACTCAAAGATAAATGTCGACCCTCCCATTTACTCTCTTAAGCACACAATCCTTCCTTCCTGTTCAAACTAAACTATTTCACAGAAAACTTTTGACACTATTTAAAAACAGATTGGATGTGAATTAGTGGATTATCAACGAAACTAGGCAATTACTGTTGTGAATTCATTCCCTTGCTAATTTCAGTAATTGTTTGTAGTGACAGGGGAGAGAAGTTGATAGAAGTTGAACAAAAATGGTGAAGCAACAAAGCACTAGAAGTACAATATCTCCCCCTTTCCCTGTCATCAACCGGACATAGTCTCTTACTTAAGTTTAGATTCCTTCCCTGAAAGATTAAAATTTAAATGGAAAAATCAAGCACGGAATTTTGAGATGTTATGATTCAGTTTAGGTTTCTTTCTGCATACATATAAATTCCATTCTTTAGCATATGTATATTTTCAAAACGAAGTATTACTTTTCTTGAGTATACTTAAGATTGTGATTAGATATGTCTTAATATGTTTCAATAATTAGCACTAAAATTTACTTAATTTACTATATTTTGGCATGTTAGAGGTGCATTTTTAACTTTCATTTGTTTCTGTTTAGTTGTAATTTTCTATTATTAGAAAAATATAAATCAATAAATTCACTCGATTTCTTATGGATGTGAGAAGTGCAATTGAGTTCACTAATTGACTAGTAAGTGAGAAAGGCAGCATCATCCTGCTAAACCTGCAGGGAAATACATGTTCTCGTAGTAGGACAAAGATGATTCAGCACAGTGCAGAAGAAAAAGATGATACATTAGCTAACACACTTAAAGATGATGCAGACAATAAGGGATTCCTTAAATGCACCGGAATCAAATTCGAGGCATAAAATTCTTTAGAGTACTATTTTAAATTTGTTAGAGAATTCTGGTCTATTAGTAATATTGAAGAATTCCTTCTAACTTCACTTTTTATAAAAAAAAAAAAAGCTCCAATAAATGAACCACGCATTAAGGATAGCCTCATTTTTAGGAAGCCCGTTAAGCCTTCAATCACGTCACTATTGTTGAATCTTTTGAACCTAGGATTTCATTGTGACTCTGTTTCCCCTAATCCCTATTATTTGAGGTTATGATTTACAGATATTAAACAGTGTACCAAACCTTCCTTCTACAGCCTTCGCTATACTAAATCAACTAACACTAGCAGCTAGTACTCTCTCCAACTACAGACTTATTATAAGATCACTTGATAACTGATTTTCATCAGTAGTGTCTCGCAAGCATCAAGAAGATCAAGCACAACCCAAGCATAGTGAGAATATCAATACACAATTATACATAGCAAAACTTTTGTAATCCTTACATGTTCACACTCACAAACAAGGATTTTTACATCATATTAGCTGCTTATGCAATTACGTGTGGTCCCCTGAGTATCAGCAAAAAGAAGAGAACTATTATGAAATAAGTTGAAATAGAGCAACTGAAAAGATAAAGGAACTCTTGATTTGAAGTACACTGCTGAAGTGGGAGACAACTACTAACATATGTCATACTATTAGAGATTGCATTTACCTCTCATAGGTTGCATAAGGGTTTCCAGACACAGGCTTAAGGTTTTGGGTTGGACTGCTTGATCAATGTGACAAAATCTGAGCATCCAACCAAAACATTAAGGTGATGGATGGATAAAAAGAAAGTCTTCAATCCACATGAAAACCCTAGAACTGGTCACACATGCAAGAGAGTATTGGAGAATACACTTGGTCCTCACTGGTCATGTAAGGGTTGAAAAAGGGATTCATAATGTCCTAGGCCACTTCACCTATTGCTTAAGGTTTTGGGTTGGTAGCTCAGGTTCTTTCAAACATAAGATACCGCATCATGCTAAGAGGAAGCCATGATACTCCAATAACGTTTAAAAGAAGTCATGATTTTTAGATCCATCTCAGTTGGCATGCAGTAGAAATTGGCACACTTGGAGAGAGCATGTTAGAAATGCAGAACAATTCAACCATTTAGCTGAACAAGTTCCCAATAATAGAAACAGATTTAAAGAAAGAGTAGCACTACAAGAACAGATAGTTACAAAGAAAAGAATCGAAAAGACTGAAGCGTTTTTACCAAAAGTGCCACACATGACACAACTATGAAGACTAAGGTCCTCTTATCAATCAAATGTGCTAAAATAACAATGGCACTGAGATGAAGCACCCTGCAGAAATAAATTCATCAAATGTATTACATAAGAAAACCGTGCACAGAAGACCTACACATTATCACAAGGCAAGTGCATTTCCTGAAACAAGCCCAATAACTTAGCAGACAACCAAGTTAACATGTAAATATAGAAATCTAATGACATTCCTAGCAAAGCCATAAAGACTTTGTGTTTCATCTATGCATTATAATTACAAATACATTAGAACCCAAAGACCTAAGCCAGATAAGCACAAATTTGAAGCAATTACTCAACAGAGTCAAGTTGATTATCAGGACTAAGTTAGCAAACATAACAACAAATTATCCAGATCAGAATTCAGTGATGTGATGAACAGTAATGGATCTTTATTAGCTGCAGATCTGATCTAGACATATGTATCGAGATTTCAAAATGTCACTCACAAGTGCAGTGAATTAACAGTCTTTGCTCCTCTTCTAAGAGTTATGTCATATGTCCGGTCACAAAGGTCTTGTAAAAATAACTCCAAGGCTTTTGCTGCAATTAATGACAAGAGAGGAAGGGTTAGAAAAAGATAACCACCAAGTAAATTGACGCAAGACAAACATTATATGGGACTTACACACTAGAACAGGCACAGCCATTGCAATCTTACCGACATCCTCATCGGCTTGCATAATTTTCTTGATCCGGGCCTAAACATTTTTAATGAAGAAAATGAGATCTCTTCAGACATTCCACATCTGATAGAATCAAAAGCTAAAAAGCAAATAACATGGAAAACGTTCTTCGACATGTTTTCCATGTTAATCCTCTAAATTCATCCTTTTAATTCTTAAACCACAGGAAAAATACTCATTGAAACAGAAGCCCAACTTGAATCAGAAAGGAAATAACACAGATCCTAGAGGCACCAGCATATCTGTTCATTTAACACAAAGATATGAGACAGGGAACCCAGTATCCAACTTCTTGTCAAAAATCCATTTGGCCACAGACAGACTGGCACAAGGATATTCCACCCTTCTCTTTCTTTATAGAAGTGATAAATCACCATCTTTTACTATAGTACTCAGACCAGAATACTATACTTAATGTATCTTCACAAAACTCCAGAAAAATAATAACACAAATAGTTAGCTGTGGCAGCCATACTGTCATCTAAGAAGAGTGATGAAGAGATCAGCACACTTAATATGATTGAATTGAGGACAATTCTAACACAGGCATCATTATGAGGCGTTGCACATTGCACTAGTTTTTCCTTTCTTTGCTTAGCAATAGGCACATCCCTATAATTACTTTTTTTAGATGAGGCCTCAATGTCTACACTAGACATTTTTGAGACAGGTTAGGATGAGTTGTCTTTTAATGCTTGGCCTGGACTAGTTAGGGTTAATTGGTATACAGTTTTAAAGAAAATATACAACTTCAAACAGTCAGATCCAAACAGAAAACCCCATAGTTGTATATGCTTTTGATCACCAAAGCAGCAAAAAGAATTTATATAAGCTGAAAAAGTTCCAAATGCTCCCAAAGATATTACACTGCAAAACAACAACAATTTGCAATAAAGTAGAACTTGCCTATTTGTCTTTATGTATCCAACAATGATCCACGGTGACTAGCACAGGCGGCATACCACATCATGGTACTGCCTCACTTGCGTCATTTCATGGACCACAACAAATAAGTACAAAATCCAGTAAGAACTAGCAGCAACTTAGTTTTCTTTATTAGATCAACAAACGAAACCAATAACTTTAACCCACAACACCAAATCATTAAATCCAGTAAGAACTAGTAGCAAAAAAAATTTCTTGATTTGAAGAATAAATGAAACCTATAACTTTAACCCACAACACAAAATCTTAGCTACAGTTTGCTCTTTGTCTACACTAAACTTGGCCAAGGCTGAATTCTACTTCAAACAAAAAAAATCTCATGTCCACTACTAAAAAGACTCAAACTTTCAACTTGAATTTATGATATAATAATTCTATCGACCTAGCATAAACAGCAAACCTTTTAGTTACAGAAAGGAATCTATAAACATAGAATTCACTTCATCTTTCTTCAATTTCTGTTTATAACACGAGCCACAGTACAAGTAAAGTCAAAATTCAAGTTATCCATTTCCCAATAAACTATAAAGCAACAAAACAAAAAGGTAAACAACAACCCCATGAAAAAAGAAACCCGACCCACTAAGCACCATAACTCAAATTCTCCCAAAATTACAAAAACACTCAAGAACTGAAAAAAAGAAAAGCGCAATTTTTTTCAAGAAGTACAACATACCCAGAACAATATAAACCAAATTCTCTCAAACCCAGATCAGAAAACACCAGATTCATCGAAACTAACACAACCCATAAGCAGATCACGGAGAACTTACACAACAAAGTAAATGAAACAAAAATAGTCTTTTGGAGAGGAAAAAAAGAGTGTAAAGTAGAGCTCACCGCAGGAAAGCGAGTATCAAGTTTCTTCCTCATGATAAATCAGATTCTGTCCATTCAAAAATAGAGAGAATCTAAGGATATAAAATACTAAATTAGAGAATCTAGTGAACAAATTTCTTTCTGAAATTGGAAGAATCAGAAGAAGACAATCATTGTTCGAAGTGAGATAGAGAGAGAGGAGAAGATTTGGGGAAAGTGCAAAACGAAGGTATTTTTTTAGACTTGACAGATTTAGTCCTTTTACCAAACAACATTTCGATTTGGGACCCAATGGTTTGCTTTTACCATAAATTAGGGTCACTAATTATTAGCAAACATAATCTAGGGGGGTTATTTGGGTTTTAATCTAATTATACACAAATTATTATACTTCCTTTGTTTCACAAAGAATTTTCTCTGACTTGGTACAGAGTTAAAGAAAATAAAGAATAATTTTGAATCTTGAGATCATAAATTAAAATCATGTCAAATGTAAAAAATTGTCTTTTAATCTAGTGATCTTAAACATGTCACGCGGGAAACTGAAATCAAAATGTTATCAAAAAAGAAAAAGATCATAATGGGTTTCATTAGGTAAATTGTTATAATTTTTTTTGAAACGGAGGGAATAACACATTAGGTAAATTGTTTGGTTTAGTGACAAGTTATATTTGATTAGTAAATTAGCCTATAATGGGTCTCAAGATCGAGCTCTGCATAAGAAAAAAATTATGTTAGGAGCACCACCTTCAAATGAGCGCGATAAAATACGATTTAAATTTAGTTGGAGCTTCAATATAAACTTCAAACACAGGGTGAAAATCAAAAAAAAATTACTGTATAATGATTATTTTACAGCGAAATGTTTAATAATGAGAATTTTATATGGTGATTAATAACGAAAGGATCATATTTTATGGTACGAAAGTTATTAAACACTTCATTTTACATTTTACATAAGTATTATGATTTTCTTTACCAACAAACGGTCACTATTCTTTGCATAATTATCATATCATTTGAAGTGAAATTTTGAAAAAGTTGAGTGCATATTTCCAAATAAAAATTAATCAATTTATGGGTATAACATAAAGTTATAAAGATCGTACGCATGTGAATTAATTTCTTATATCAAAATAGACACTAAGGAAAGAATAATAAATTGGACCAACCTACAAAAACGAAATGCTCCCTTCATAACCAATCGTCCATAATATCAATGACTTTTTTGTTACAAAAAATTATTTCGAAATTTTTATTATATAAAAAATTATTGAATGTATTCTATTTATTTACGAAAAATAATTTAATGACTTTTGATGATATAAAATAAAAATTGAGCAATCACATGTAAAATTGCCCATGAAGAATTATTGTTACTTTTCTCTTTAGATAGACAAATTTTAGGGTTTATTACTAGAGTACTTTATATATTATATGAACGGTATATTATATAATTTTAAAAAATCTTATATTAATAAAGTTTGGAAATTAATATTTATAACAATAAAGTCACTAAATTATGTGTTGATCGTTGGAAAATAAAATTTGTGACTTCTGATAAAATTTATAACACATGAGTTAGATTTTCTTGTTGAACTATTTAGGAGCCCTTACAACAAAGCTAAGCACAAGAAGCAAATTTTCAAATATGTAAATTTTACTTTTCATTGATGTAAAATATTAAAACTAGTAGACGAAAGAAGTTACACATCCTACACCAAACATAACAAAAAATGACATTCAAGAGAGACACATCAAGTTTATTGTGTTTCAACAAGGAATGGTTTGAATGTCAGCAACACACCAATTGCCTCAATCACATTCAGCACAAAGAACACTACTTGATCACCTGTATTCGAGTTGAAACAACAAACATATATAAATATGATCGAAGAGAGGATAGGCGGATGCAATATATGTGCTACGTGTTCAACTGAACTCAGTTATTTAGTCGTTACCTGGAAGAATGGAAGCGTCAAGCCTTTTTTGTGCCCAAGAAAAGCTACACAAATCAAGAAAACGCGACAGTTTTAGGTGGAAGAAAAGAGATTCGCGTTCCTAGTTCTAAAGTTAAACAAAGTAAGTGAACTCACACTACTCCTGCCCCTGCTGGACCTATAGCTTTAAAAATTGACATTGCTGTCATGGCAATTCCATTAGCAGCTCCACGTTGTCGCTGGTCCTGTGTTTATGAAATCAGTCCAAAAACAAGTGAAACATATGGTATGGATGATATAATGCTTCTGTAATCGACAATTACAAGATATAAGTAGCTTTTAAAGGAGAGAGCAAAGAAGAATTTACCACTGCTTTGTTTTGCAATATGAACAAACCTGTTATGATAGATATCTGAAGACAATTTGAAGTCAAATGTTAGATTTTGAGTTCATAAATTTCAATATTACTATGCAGAATATAGTTCGCGTATAGTAATTTTGCTTCCTTGTGAATGGTAAAGATACTAAGTTGGTAAGAAAAATTACAGACACCAGAAAAAACACTTACAGATAAAGCATTCTTGATCACAGATGCAATATTTATTGTGACAGAGAGCGCGATCCCAGATAGCAAGGCGATGTAAGGGTAACTTGTCAGCACAGCAATGGACAAAACCTGATCAGGGAATTTTAAGTTACTTCAAGATTTTCAGTGAGTTAAACGTATTTTACAAGTTCAAGTGCTTACTCCTGCAACTCGAGTAATGACGATAGGGCCAACACACTTCTCAACCAATGGATATAGAGATAGTTGAAAGACTAGAAGGCCAAATCCTGAAACATGCACCATCATGATTTTCATCATGCAACCATCTTATCGGACACTATATGAAATGAAATGTATAAGCTGTAGTTCTGTCTGTATCAGCGAGACAGGAAACAACGCAGATGCTTTAAAAATATGAAAATTAAATCTTGATCACTGTGCGAGTGCAAGCAAGGTTCATTTATCTACAAAAGAATGTAAGTTACTAGAAAATTCGTATGTACCTGAGATCGATAGTACTTCACCAACATCAACAGTTGAATAACTTAAGCCTCCAAACTTTCTGGGGCTCACAGTCCATAATGAGAAGATCTACGGAAGCAAATAATGGATTAGTTATGCGATGTCTCTGGTGCCACAAGAATGAAAGAACAAGCATGATCTACGTTCCAATGATATGATATACCTCTGTATAAGCCATATCATGAAGAGAAAAGACACAGTATAAGATGATCGATGACATCAATGGCCAGTTGTTAAAAAGGTTTTCTTTTGGGGCTGATTCATTTCCGTCTTTTGTATCAGATGCAGCCTCCTCCAGAGCCTCATATGAACTTTGAGGCGGCATTCTTGAATCGTGATTGTGTAATGTTTCCTGCAAAATCCATGAGCTTTAAATACGAATACCATCCTATAACCACAAATACAAACAAGATTTGACAGAATTAATATTGATGTAATCGGGTACATTTACCGGGAGCCAAAATGAAGCAATACCCACAGCCAAGGAAAACAGTGATATACATAAGCAAGGCAAGAAATAGGGAAATCTGCAGAGAAGTATCATATGTTGGAGTCGAATAGCAATTCAAGCAACATAAGAAAAGATGCACAATTATGAAAAGAAAGAAGTCGCGCAGAAATACCTCCCAAATATAGAATCCTTTGAGAATACAGTCGGATATTTCTCTGCAGGCTGAATTAAAAAGCGGACATTTAGAGCATACATGCTAAATGAAATAGTAGAAAATTAAGGACATAGCTACGCAAAGGAAAGTACCTGAGCAAGGAAGCCTCCTAAAGATGGACCAATAATCAATCCAATACCCCAAGCAGTACTAATCTGAAACAACTCAAACATAAAAATCATTCAGAAATGCATTCCTTTCGTTTGTTATAAATCATTTGCATAACATATTACCGTTGACATTCCCAGTGCTTGATATTCTTCACGGAAGATTTCTGCAGCATATGCCTAATCATGGAAGGTATATAAGCTTATCTTAAAAGAATAGCTGAGGATACAGTACTGAATTCTTCATCAGTCGAATACCTTTATTGGTCCAATCAAACCATTTAAAAAACCAAGTAGAAATCGCGTAGCAATTGCCATCCAAAAGTTGACACTAAGACCAAAGAGAGTGTTGAAAACAACCCTGAAGAAGCACAATTAAACTTGTTGACATTTAAGTGAATAAAATGTAAAACAGAAATAAGGATTAGTCTTACACTGCAAAAGTGCCGAAAACTATAACTGGTTTTCGTCCATATCGATCAGCCACTGCTCCCCAAAAAACAGATGTCAAAGCTCTTCCAACCATAAATGAAGAACCTTCACGAAATTGATCATAAGCATTTATTCGAATTTCGACAAACATTTTATATAATCATATTATGGAATGAAAATAAGCTTTACCTACAAAACCTGCATACGTACTAATATCTTCCTCTCTTTTTGCAATGTGAAAGTCCTTTATCTGTACAACAATATAACATACAGTAAAATCCCACGAGTAGAGTCTTGGGAGAGTAAAATGTACACAGACCTTCAAACTACATTAAAGAAAACTTGAAAAAGAAGATCGTAATACAACAAAAAAATTGAGAGATCTTACCATGAAATAAAGAAATGGAAAGAGTGATGATATTGGAAGTGCTGATAACCAAAAAAAAATTAACGTAGGCAATTAGTAACTATCAATGCTTAATAATCAGACTTCGAACAAAGTAACTATCACGTAAAACAGTAATATTAAATATGGAGTATATGCTGGTGGTGAACTGGTGATATAGACCATAAATATTTGGTCCAACTAAACTTAATATTAACTTTGTAATTCATAATATCATACACAGGCATCGGCTTATTGTTGGTAAAAGGTAATAAATATTTCTCGATACTCTTTTCGTTTTAAAAAAGAATGTCTCCTTTGCTTTTTTGGCAATACTTTAACATGACATGTTTAAACCACAAGATTAAAGATATTTTGATACATTTGAGATAACTTTAATTTAAAATTACAAAATTAAAAAATCTTTTTTCTTTTCTTAAACTCCGTTCCAAGTCAAAATAGATGATTCTTTTTAAAACGAAGAGAGTAGTAGTTAATGTACGTAAAAACTGATTCGAACATATTTTATGTAATCGTTAACGAATTACCTGTACCAAGGATGACAATCCATATAGTGAAAAGCTCCTTAATTGGTAAACCGGTTTGACCCGACTTGTGTTGATCCACTTTACAACCCGGACAATTTTCGTAGTAATATTTCTTATTTATCAGCGGAGTTTCTAATTCGCCCGCCATTTACTTTTATGATCAATGAGAATGAATGGAAGGTTGCATATATATATACACGTATACATTTGGCTTACTACATGGACGGGGACGTTAATTTTATTTAGATATTTAAACTATTATTTATTTGTGTGTGTTTACACATAAAATATCGCAAACTAAATTATTAAATCAAGTCAAAATATTTGAATAATTTAATAAATATTGAGAAAATTACGTGGCTAAGCAAACTTAAACTATTTAATTACTTATTATAGCTACAGTTTTCTATAATTATCACCGCGACTAACATTATACATTAATTACGTGGGCCAAATTCGAGTTTGTATATGTATAATTCGCCAGAATATACAAATACATATGTATAATACACAATTTTTTAACCTATATATACATATGCATTCACGTCTCTCCCACTCTACATACATATGTGCCCTCTCTTGCTCGTCTCCCTCCTCCCTCTCTGAATCTCGCTTGCCTCTCTCCTACCTCTCTCAATCTCGCTTGCCTCTCTCCTACCTCTCTCAATCTCGCTTGCCTCTCTCCTACCTCTCTCAATCTCGCTTGCCATATATATAATATACAATTATATACATATACAACTCACAACTCTCTCATCATCTGCCCTTTCTCGATCTTGATCTCGCTCGCCTTCTCTCCTCCCTCTCCCAATCTCTCTTGTCATATATATATATACATATGTATAATATACAATTATCTAACCAATATACATATACACTTTAGCTTTCTCCTACTCTTTTTTCCTCTCTCTCGCCTCTCTCCTCCATATATAACATGTAGCTACGGATTGTAATTATTAAACTTTAATCATGAAGTAATTAGGCTATTTTTAAGTGGTTATATATGAAAGTTCCTCATTATTCTTGTTTCATAATCACCAAATTAAAATGCTTATAAGCAGAAATCAGTTGAAAGTTGTATAAACTGATCACTCTCAACGTCTTAACTTCGATTTGACCATAAATTTTGGAAATAAAAAAATAAAATTGAGAATAATACTGTCCATGAAGATATCTTGAAAAAAAAAATTAATGTTTTTTTTCTCATATCCATTTAATTTTTTTTAAACTATTCTCCAAGTAAAATGCACGTTCTAACATAACTTTAAAAATTCATTTTTCTAAGTTTTGACTAAATTTATAATCAAATACTGAGTTTAAATACTTTTGATTAGATGGTATATTTTATAATATTACAAATAACTTTTATAAATTATATTAATTAGTTTGACATAAAAAATACTTATTAGAACTTTTTATTGAATACGTTAATTGTTTATTCCTAGTATTTTTCAAATACATAATTATTTATTTATAAAATTATTTTAAATTTTAAAGCCCTTCAAGCTTACCAACTAATATAAACGACTTGTTAATGTATTTTTTTCTATAATTTATAGAGTTCACAGGCAAGTTTGCTACATAAACCAAATTTATAACTTGGCAATCACTCCAAAAGAATAAGTAAATAAACAACACAAAGACGCCAATAGTGACCACAAGACTTTGTTTATATTAATAAAACAAACAAACAAAAACACGTTATTATTTTATTCAGTGAAATTAATAATTAAATAATAATAAAAACAAACAAAATCAATTTTGTAAACAAACTCTAACAACAAAGAAGCACAAAACGCATATGATCTCCGGACCCTACTAGAAGAGAAGCGTGAAACGCAATTCCTAGAGGGTGTGTTTGGCACCGACGAAAAATATTTTTAATTTTTTCATGTTTGATTGGTTAAAAAAAAATTAAAAGCTACGAAAAATATTTCAGAAATAACATTTCAAATTCATAATCTCCTTCCGGCCACCGACATACCGAAAGTCGATAGTGTTTTTTATTAGATTACATAAAAATGTTCTTTATTTACCTATCAAATATTAAAAGATGAGTAAGAAATCTACTTATTTTTTTTAAAAAAAAGTATTTTCCTTCCTTCGGACCAAACATATCCTTCAAGTAACTTTCTATCGATAAGGTTTGTTTGGGATTGAACAAGTATAATATAACGATGAAATTATAATATAAGAATTAAATAAAATATAATCATTTAATACATATATTTTTACTGACAAATAATTGATTTATTAGACGAAAAGTGAGATATATCAAATATTTTATAAAGTATGTGTTTGATTTTCCTCGAGACAAAATGCCTACAAGTTTTCAAATATGTAAAATTTTCATTTCATTGATGCACTACATTAGAACTTTTGGGTATGAATGAAGTTTTACATCCCATACAAACATAAAAAAAAATAACCTCTAACCTAAAAATAATTGCTAGCAGAAAAAAATGAATCATTCAGATACATAGTTTTTTTTTTATTTCACCCTGTTTCCCGACTAAATTCGGATTCGTGTTAGGAAGTTCATATATTATAGGGTAGAGCGGTCCCTAGCACGATCATAAGTTCTTGTCTGATTAATTGGTATTTTGTGTTTCAACAAGGAATGGTTTGAATGTCAGCAACACACCAATTGCTTCAATCACATTAAGCACAAAGAATACTACTTGAGAACCTGCATTCGAGTTGAACTCAAACATATATAAAAATGAACGGAGAGATGATAGGTGGATGCAATGTATGTGCTATGAATTCAACTGAACTCAGTTATTTGGTTATTACCTGGAAGAATGGGAGTGTCAAGCCTTTTTTGTGCCCAAGAAAAGCTACACAAATTAAGAAAAGACGACAGTTTTAGCTGTAAGAAAGAGACTCGCGTTCCTAGTTCTAAAGAAAAACAAAGTAAGTGAACTCACAGTACTCCTGCCCCTGCTGGACCTATAGCTTTGAAAAAAGACTGAGATGTCATGGCTAGTCCATTAGCAGCTCCACGTTGTCGTTGGTCCTGTTGTTATAAGTTTTTTGATATCACACCACGACCACGTGAATCAATTGATAATTACAAGATATAGCTTTTGAAGGAGAGAGCAATTTACCACTGATTTGTTTTGCAATATGAACAACCCTGTTATGATACAGATCTGGAGGCAATTTGAAGTCAAATGTCAGAATTTTGGATCATAAATTTCGATATTGGTATGTAGAATATAGTTCATTTTCTAACAATGGCCACCTAGGTATTGGTTTTGCACGTTATATGTGCACAAAGATACCTGGTAGCAAGAATAGATAGACTGGTAAGAAAAAGTACTTACAGATAAAGCATTCTTCAACAAGGATGCAAAATTTATCGCCACAGAGAGAGCAGTCCCAGAGAGCATAGCAATATAAGGGTAACACGCCAACAAGGGAATTGACAAAACCTGATCATATTACAGTACTAAAAGTAACTTATAGATTTTCTGCAAGTCGGAGAGAACTCAGGAGTTTAACATATTTTACAAGTCAAGTGCTTACCCCTGCAATTCGAGCAATGACAATAGGACCAAAATACCTCTCAACCAATGGATACAGAGTTAGTTGAAAGACTAGAAGGCCGCATCCTGAAATGCCACAAGCCCACAATGATTTCAGTATGAAATATCTGATCACTATATGAAATGAAATGTATTAGCTATAATTCGGTCTATGTGAGAGAGCAGACGGTTCAGATAATTTCTGCCTGAGCTAATTCTTCTATTGATTACCAATCGAAAATCCAGAATTCTGCTTGACCTTCTAGAGAATGGTAATGTTCATGACAGCATAATTGTGCTCTAGTATGCTTTACAAGAATGCAAATGTACAAATAATCCAAATACCATCCGAGAAAAATATTAGCAAAAGGAAACAGAGAAAGGAACTAACTTTATTCTAAACTATCATAGAACGTTACTAACTGTAATCATAAATATAGAAAAAAAGTAGTCGTAAACCTAAAATATGAGTAAGTCGTACTTCTGAACTCCAACTAATCTATGTACTTCTGATGCATTTGATGGATCAGACGTTACTGTGGTGCAATACATTACGTGAATTCCTTTCTTTCAAACTTCAATGCATAATCAAATAATTCTAGCGATTACAAAATCTATAGGGATGAATGTGGGACTGAGACTCGAAGGCGATGACCATTGACTTCATCAGCCAGTGTGACTGATATTAGTAAACCACGGGACTGTTCACATTACTTTGTTAAGTTTTACGTTAAATTCATAGGTTATGGCTTCATACAGCACATTCTGCATCTTCTTTACTGTTTCATTTATAATGTTTGATATTGAAAAGGATTGTAAGTTTGATATTATAGATTAAAATACCCTAATCCTTAACATGTGGTAATTTTGACTGTGTGAGTACACCAAGTGTTTCTTCCTAATCACATCAGAGATGACGAAAGAAAAACAAGAGATTAGTTGGAAAAAGAATGGCAAGCAAACGTTTGTCTATCTGAAAAAGAATATAAATTACTAGAAAATTGGCATGTACCCGAGATTGATAGTACTTCACCAACATCAACAGTTGAATAATTTAAGCCTCCAAACTTTCTGGGGGTCACAGCCCATAATGAGAATATCTGCCATAAGAGTAAGTAAAACGTTTATATAGCTTCCGATGGCCAATGAGCCTAGACAGAGCTGCAGAATTGTAAAATATACAATCCTTTTACTGTTGAAGTGAAGTACCATTTACTTTCATAGTTTACCATGCAAAAGAAACCAATCCGGCACATATCAGCATATAACATATATTGACATCGTCCTTTAGGAATATCTAACACAATCTACTTCCAATAAAGTCATCACATGTCAACATGCAACCAACCGATGTCATACCAGAGATATGCATAGCTTTATCTTTTTCTATAGTAGAAGATGCCTACATAATCATGATGTGAGTGTATCCTACACCTAAAGTGACTTAATTTGGGTTAGAAATAAGATATACCTCTGAGTAAGCCATATCATGAAGAGCAAAGACACAGTATAAGATGATAGCCGACATCAATGGCCAGTTCTTGAAAAGGCTTTTTGTGGGGGTTGATTCGTTTCCTTCTTTTGTATCAGATGCAGCCTCCAGAGCCTTGTATGATCTTTGAGGCGGCGTTCTTGTATCAT